CTGTTTCCGCCATCTCCGCAATCCATTCATCAATCCCAGGGCGCACTTTAGTCTTCCAGTGTCTTAATATAATCCTGGATGCTGTAACTAGTCCGACCGTAATGATGCAGAAGGTTCCTCTTGAAACATTTGGTATTTGGGATCTGTCTCCCAGTAAGCATCGATCCGGGGTCTGAGGGACTTCTGTGCCTAATCGGGAAATTCTTCAGAAACTAACAATGGAGTGGATTTGCTTATGCCAGCGCGTACAATGAAACTAATATGAATTTTTCAGGTGGTTATAATTATTTAAAGTCTTGCCAAGGTTTCACTGACACTGGTTATAATGACATTTCATCGCGTTGTTATTTGTTATTGTTGCCATATTCTCGGTCATCTGGGGCGTCATAAGCTTGAATGTTTAGTTGGAAAAAAAAATTGGACTTTTCTTGTTTTCCTCGAAGATGTTTCACCTCTTGTCCGAGATGCTTCTCCTGTACTGAAACTAGGAGGTGAGTAGGAGGTGTGGTCTGAAACAAACATGCTGATAGAGCAATAGGAGTCGCTGATGAGCTCATTGTTATTACTAATGAGGCCATCGAGGTCACGTGAGTCCCTAGCCTCTCCTTCTAATCAGCTCTCTCTGTTTGTGTCGTTGGTGCAGGTGCTAAGAGGTCCCCGACGACCACACCTGTGCTCTGTTTCGGTCACATGTCTCCAGGTATGAGTTTCAGTTTAACTGCCTGAGTAGACAAGTCAAGGCTGCACTGTTCATTCTTGAATCATTACATTCTGTGTTGTCAAAGCTAGCATCTACTAGTCTTCTTCTGTCCATCAGTGCAGGGCGTGAGTTTGCAAAATCAAGGCAGGCAGTGAAAGGTCTCGTCTTTCTGGCCTCTGGCTAGAAGAGCTCTCTTTTGACTGCCAACGTTGTTTGACCGTGAAGCGTCACGCTCACTAGTAGCCAGACAGGGGGGGGGAACTGTCGTGCAGGGCAAGCGCAATTCTTAGTCAGACTGCCATCAATCCTACGTGGGTGCTCCAGGGCTCAAGTGCCCACGAGATCAGCGCCGATGCCCACCTTGGTGCACAACCACAGAAGACTGTGCTGATTTTGCAGCCAGGAGAGATTTAACTGTTAGCATTAGCAACTCCATCACATGGCAGAAATTATTCAGAGCTGCACTAGTTTGTGAGTGGATGAGAAGTAGGGATGCACCGATGCGGTACGGGTATCGGTAAAAGTTAACCGATACCAATGCAGTTGCATGAAAATGACTCCACTGTAACTTGTCGTTTCTGTTCACCTAATATTTTAGTTTTGTGATGATTTTTATTCATACATTTTACTTTTTATCTACCTCACAGGCTTTTCCTGTTGAAAGCAGAGAAGAAAATACCGTAAATCCTCTAATACAGGCCCGGGCCTGTATTTGACTCAAGCTCATCAAGCTCCAGGTCTTTTATTGGAAGGAGGACCAGAATTAGAGGCAGGCCTCAATTTCTATTTGAGCAAAATGAACTGATGGTTCGCTGGAGTTTCTGACAATTAAAATTGCGCCCACATTTTCAAAGTTAAACACATTTCTTTAACAACGGTAGATTCTGCTTCAGCCCCCCCCCCCCCCCCCCCCGCGCAGCGGCCGCAAACTCACTGATGCGTCTGCAGCCTCTCGGCGTTCCTGCTGCTCTAAACATTAAAATAATTATTTCATTTTCTGTTCCTCACTTCTGATTACCTTCAATGGTGTCTGTTTGTTGCAACAGCAGGTACAAAAACTAACTTGTTTTTATTTGACTATTTTTCTGTCCTGTCTGTTTATTATCTTCCTGCATCTCCTCTCAATCCTAAAGAGAAACTGCTACCTGGGTTCATATATATTCACCTCATGAGTTACCTTTGAACTGCAGTTCTAAAAGATCTACCGACCGCAAAAACAGCGGAGTGCTCGCTGCTTGGCGGCCACGGGAGGCGACGCGCTGTGCCAGAGCGTCGGTACTGACGCCCGCCGTAAAACGGACATTTAACCAAATTGTGACGTTTACCCTCTTGCAATTCAACCTTCCCCTCACCCCCATCCTAACCTTAATCAGCTTGCACATGCAAAGCTCTGATCGTTGACGCGCTCCAGACATCTGCGTCCTGAGCACCGCCACAGTAACGTTATCAAATCAGGTGTCGCCACCTCAAAAACTAATTTAACACGCGATCGTTCACGTCGGCTCATTTCCTTTTATGTTTTTTGTTTTTTTATTATTTTATTTGTGCCTGATGCTTTTCGCTGCTGTGGATCGGGGCGCATCACCTGTCACCTGCTGACAGCAGGCTGCTGTCTTTTCCGTGGACTGCATCTTGCCGGTCATCATCACGTGACAGCGACTAGTCAATGACAGGCATAAAGAGTCACTATAGAGCGGTGAAGTCGACTAGTGACTAGTTCATACAACCCCTGCTACAGCTCCCCAGAGTGTTCTGCAGCATAATCAGCACGTTCTTGCTTGTTACCACATTCCACCCGGTCACAATAAAAAAACGGCCATTATTCACCTCCGCCGACTCCGACACCGCCCAAAATATGATACCTGGCAGTTAATTGAATACAGGCTAATATTAGAGGATTTACGGTACAATCTGTATTCCAAATCATTGCATTTTTTGTGTGATAGAAGTATCGGTATTCGGTATCAGCGAGTATTCCGATCCAAGTATCGGTATCGTATCGGTTTTTGAAAGAAGTGATATTGTTGCATCTCTAATGAGAAGCAGACGGCTTAATTCTTCATCCTTCAGGCTTGTGTTATTTGTGGAGATAACACATCTTGCTGCAGAACTAATGAAGGCAGTGGAAAAGTCGTGTTACTGTTCGATAATCACGGGCGACATGTTTGCGTATCATGCAATAATGACAAAGACTGCTAATCCTGCAGGTTTCTGCCTCCCCCTCTGACAAATTTCTACTTCCTGAAGCGACTCACAAGCCGTTCTTCCAGACTGGAGGCCACAGCAGAGTTACTGGAACGAGTCCAAGCCCACTTTTAAAAGTTCTTTTCGGTGCATCTTTTTAAATATCCAGATTTCCTGTTGAAACATACCAAACCACTTTATTTATGCAGCACGTTTAAAACGGCGTGAGAGCTGACCAAAGTGCTGCACAGGCAGGCCCATTTAAACAAAAACATGGAGCACAAGGTAGTTTACTTAGTGCAGCTGGAATAAAAGTAGAATAAAGTGACTTGTTTTAGTTTTATGTAAAATAAAGTCTGATTTTATGTTATTGTGCCGGAATTCATTTCGCTGAAACATTGCACACAAACTGGTAAGTTGAAAAAATTTGTTTTCTGTGAAAAAGCAGGTTAAAAAAAAAGGAAGTGCTTGAATCTGTCTGACAGACGATAAGAACAGGCCTTTAGACAAACCTGCTGTTATGCACTGGTTACCACACTTCAGCGCCCAAGGTGAGCACACTAATATTTGGAAGTCGCACATCTGTCTGGTCTCACTCCTTCACTTTCAGACAATCGCGGCTCTAAATCTCTGGCTCAGACTGTGAGCAGACAGTCAGCTGCCTCAGCAGTCTGGACCGTTGCTCCAGGCTTTGGCAGCACAGCCGACGTCGGGAGAAGACGTTTGCGTGCTGCAGACAAACAGCAGCAACCAGAGGAGCAACTTGAGAGCGCCGTGATGGTTTTGGGGTTAAAGCAGGCGTGCTTGCACGTACCGCTGCAGAAGTGAGAGTTGATAGTCGGCCTCACAGATACGCTGATTAAAGTTTCGTAGAACACAAAGTAAAAAAGGATGTCTCTCAGATTAAATGTGACATTAGTGCAAACTGGGTCAACAACACACTTACTCATATCTGTGTTTACTCAGGGAAACAGTTCCACTCTTCAATCCGGGTCACTTATTTTTCTAAATCAGGTCAAGATTAAAATTGGTGTTTGTTTTGTAAACTGCAGCAAACAAAAGACGCTGTTAGAAGGAGACTGACCTCAGATTTACTTGGACTTTTATTCTGAAAACTTTCTTTTCGTTGTCCAGATTTGTGCGGTTGGCAGGGACTTTTGCAGGTGTTTCAGCTTTTACTCAGACGAAAGTTTCAGATTTAACCAGAATGCATCAGATAAAAAACAAAGAGCAGACTGATGGTTTTCAGATGGGTGTTCAGTTATTCTGTCTCAATCTAAAGTTCTGACAGTCATGGACTATAATGACTATTTTGGGAAGCATTTATTGTCATTTAGAGAGTCTTTATTGAAAGCAGGCGTGTGGAGAGTAAAGTCCACGGAAATTCCCGTGAGTTGCATTTTAAATGTAATTCTGTCTAAGAGAGGCTTCCTCTGTTCTCAGAACGCTGTGTAATTACCTGCTGTCTGAGCTGCAAGCCACAGCGTCCCTTCCTTTTGTCTGTACTGCACATGCTTTTGCACACACACACACAGGTGTCAGTTCTCGCCTGCATGCACCTGTGTGCTCGTGCAGCAGGCTGTGGCCAGCGGCTGGCTTGAGAGTGAGGTCCCCTGCCAAGAAAATCAAACAGAGCTTCTCTGAAGTCTGCTATCTCTCTGATGTGGGCCACCTATTACTGTCAGTTTCTGCTCTGGACCGACCGCAACACACTCACACACACACACACACACTGACATGCATGCACTTCTTCCCCTCAGTGACCCTCATTCTCTTACAGCTCTGTGCAGATTCTCTCTCTTTCACACACACGTGCTTGCTTCTGGGGGTCTATAAACATGTTCACTGCCTGCTGCATGACATCTTTTTCACCTTTATTGTTGCGTGGTGTCTAATGTGGTTTGTGGTGCATGTGTGCGGTTAAAGGTCAATACCTGGAAACAGTGCTTTCAGCCATGTTTTAATGTTGATCGCTACTTTCCTTCCGCCTCAATTTTCCCTTTTCTTCTGAAACTGAACCAGTAACACTTCCTGACGCTCTCTGCATCCTCACAATCGGTTGCATGTCAGCTCGCCTCAAGAGAAGAAACTTAAAGAACTTGAAAAGGAGCAGGAGTTTTGATTCTACATGTTTATTCACAAAGCATTTCAGTACAATTCAAACGGATGTTGCGTTCTTCAGTATGCACATTCAACAATAATGATAGTGTGTAAAGAAGTCCACAAGAGTCTCACAGCTCTTATCAGGATTTGCAAGCAAAGTCTCTGCTTATTCCAAGAAGTTCCTGATAGCTGCGCTCAAAAAGAAAGATTCCACTTTGACACTTTCATCTTCTGAACCGGAACTGTTCCTTTGTAGTGAGATCCAGTCGGTCTCCACTTTCAGAATTCCACTGCACCTCTCCCCGCTGCTCAGCTCCACACATGGGGGCAGCACAGGGTCACCATCCAGCACAGTCCACCTCCTCCTTAGTGTCCATAAAGCGTTGTGCCATTTGACTCAGTCGACACTGATCTCAGAACTTCAGCCCCATCATCACAGGGGGATGGGGGTGATCCAGAACCAACTCGCCGACCCAGAACGCTCTGGAAGGGTTGCAGACTGGGGATGCAGCCAGAGCCTCTTAATCCAGACGCACACGGCTCCTCGAGTCGCTCAGCTGAAGGTCAACTTCTTGACTTTCTTTTTCACGATCCTCATCAGCAGCGTTTTGGTGTGACGTCACCTCAGCGCTCTGGCAGGGTTATGGTGGGCACCCAGTCGTATGCACTGCGGCTTTCCTCGCAGAACAGACTCAGCTTGTCCAGAGCAGGGTCTTTCCATGGGTTTGCACTGGGGCTCTGAAATAAACAAAACAAAAAACGGTTTAGAGCCACCTTCAGACACAAGAGTCCGACCAAAAGAGTCATGCACGCATGAGTCACTGGCTGCAAGCTTCTGGGTTTTACGCACCGTGACAAGAATGCAGTGCGCGTCCTTGGGCTCGCCGCTCTCGTCTGCACCCACGAGGTCCGCCAGGCGCTCGATGTCATTCACGCGCACCACGTTGATGTCATTATCGAAGCAGAAAGCCTGGATGAGGGTGAAGTGGATCTGAAGCGCAATGTCACACTCGTACTCCTCATCCGTGGCGAGGACACAGAATGCCACGCTGTCTGGGTCACTGTGGAGGAGGAGGAGGGAGGCCGATCAGATGATACCCCGTCACACTTGATTGGCAGCAAACGTGCAAAAGCGGTGGGAAAAGTCGCGATACTCACACATTCATGACTTTAGCAGACTCGTAAACTCCGACGGTCAGGAAGTCCTGCTGCTTAGCAGCGACCAGCAGCTCCTCCAGGGCTGCGCCTGCACTTTGCACTCTTAACAAAGACAAAAGCATCTCGTCAGGACCGGGCGTTCAAATGAAACCGTTTCAATATTCCTGCCTTTTAAGTAACATTTTTAAAAAAGGCGAGAGATATTTACCTATCAGCGTTTTCCATGGTGTTCTCTTGTCCGCGGATCTCTTCCAGAGTCATAGCGATAAAGATCCAAGCGCTCGGTGAAGAGAGAAAATGAGCCGTGTGTGCTGCGTCTGAGTCTCCGGCGTTATTCTGGTCTCTGACGCGGCTGGAGGTGGCTTTAAAGGCTGGCTGGCGTCGTTTCTCGGCAAGGGGCGGGTCTTTCTGCTCCTGACTCCAACGATTGGCTGGAAGCAGTACAACAAAAGTCCCCGGACCACTTTGAGCTGTTGACAACCCCACGTGGGGCAAGATTTCACAGTTTCAAGAAATCCCCCTCACCCCCACCGACCCCTCCTTGTCTTGTCAACATCCAACATCACCACAATGTACAAAAACTACAAGTCCTGGTTGCGGTGGCCACAGTAAGTCACAGGACAGTCACTGATGTGTCCTTTGACTGATTTGTTTTTGGGATTGCACGCTATTGATTTAAATGTTATTTACACTCCCGTCTACCAGGAATCCTGCTTTCTTTGTGTGAGTTTTATTTATAACGAGCCAACATTGCGCAGCATGAAATGATCGAACACGAAACAACACAATTAAACAAATGATGAACATCATCACTTTCCCAGCGTTGGGAATCACTGGGAAGTTTGATTTAATTGTCTTTCCCTTTAATAAACCAGCGCGCGCGCGCGCGCGAGCTCAATCCTGTTACTCAACCCGCTCCTTTCTCTGTTTACAGCTGCAGAACAACCCCGTTCTGTTCCGAGGAGCTCGCTCTGACTCTATCAGTTACATAAATACTTCTTGAAGTGTCCAGAAGAAGGGGGACGCAGTAATCTGTGGCCGGGCACGCGCCACTTATTTTGTTCGCTCGTTGAAAGCGACGCCGCGGGACGCGTGTCGTCTCCCTCTGGAGACAAAGCCAGGCTCACGCAACGATCCACCTGCCCGGCATGTCAGCGTGTTGTGTGAGTGCGTGCACGCGCTCTTTGTGCGACCACGCGCTATCTTTATTGCCATTAAGTGACCACCCGCAGCAGATGTTCGACAGATGTGCCCGAGCCCCTCCTGGCTCCTAAAAAAGAATAATTACAAAGGAACGCCACGTGCCGCAGCCGGTAGCATTTCTTGACCATTTTATCTTATCGGTGTTTGCATTCAACATCATAAGCAGATGCTGTTTTGTTCAGAAAGGGGCACTTGGTCCTGTCTATTATCTACAATAGCAGCAGTTATTTATTATTATTATTATTAATAACTGAAGTATCATGTGTGAGTAATTCAAATTTAGAGGGGTAAAAAACAAGATTTTAACCTTTAAATCTCTCTGTGAGGGGAAGTGCATCTAACAAAAATATAAAGCTACTTGATCCCCAGAAAATTTGGGAAAGATGTGTTTTGTTCCATCTGGTGTGTCACCAATACTGCATTAAAGCAGGGGCAGTTCTAGAAGGGGTCCAGGGTGGGCCAGTGCCAAATTCCCCCCCCCCCCCGCGCTAATGGCAGAACACGCAGTCATAAGAACTTGTTTTTCTGTGATAATGTAGCGTAATGTGATATGTGGAACCAAAGCATATGAATGCATTTACATGAAGTTAAAAAGAAATGTGGAGAAAAACACTTTCCTGTGAGATACGTAACTAAGATCTCAACATACTTTTTCTGCAAAATAGCTACATTTTGAAACGTGTTGTGCCCACAGCAACCGTAGCTGAACTCTTATTAAATGTTTGCAATTAAATACTGAAGTTTGAAACACCCAAAAACAATTGTTTTCATGTTTTCTTACAAATGTGCGTCTCTAATTTGTCTTTGTCAGACACGTGACCTGAGTGTAAACCACACTCCCTTAGCGCCATTTTGGGTGTATGATTCTTGTAGGTAAGCCGCAGCTGAAGTTGAAGCAGAACAAGGACAAACATCCCTTCTAGGGATAGACTTGTGAGGGAGGATGGAAATTTTCAGAAATTGACTACAATTGACAATGTAGATCATTACAACCTCAAAGGAAACAAACAAAGTCATTACTGCCAAAAACATATCACTCGAGTAAACGTAGCGCCACTTCGACATATTTATAATCAAGTGGCCGTCCAAAAACATTACTCCACTAACAGAGGCGTTGCGCCAGGTTTTATTTTCTGGATGGGCCTTAGTTAAACAAGTTATCAAGCAGGTACAGAAACAATACCTGCATGCAGAGGTTGCACTAGACAATTTTGTTCTCATTTTGACTGACAGAGTTTAAAAAAACGGTCATGATCAATTTCTCCCGTCATTTTCATTTCCTCAAATAACAATGAAAAAATTCACAACTTAATTTGTCATGCGACCGTCATGCGACAGTGGCACAGGAGTTAAGTGCTCGCCCCGTAATCGGAAGGGTGCAGGTTCGAGTCCCGCTCAGTCTGTCGCTGTCGTTGTGTCCTTGGGCAAGACACTTAACCCACGTTGCCTGTTGGAGTTGGTCGGAGGGACCGGTGGCGCCAGTGCTCGGCAGCCTCACCTCTGTCAGCTGTGGCTACATCGTAGCTCATCCCCATCAGTGTGTGAATGTGTGTGTGAATGGGTGAATGACTGATTGTGTTTTAAAGTGCTTGAGGGGTTCCAGGACTCTAGAAGGCGCTATATCAAATACAGGCCATTTACCATTTATTTAGGTAGGAACATTTTACCTGCTGCATTGTGGTCTTTTTATTTATTTATTTTTATTCATTTTTTTATTCCCGCGATGTTCTCTGTGCGTAACGTTTAAAATGTCTGCACGCCTGCATGAGTAATTCCAGTCCCAGCAAACATCGTCACGACGGCAACTTGGTGTCCACGGCCAAAAATGGTCGCGCTCGGACGTCTTAAATTTGTTAAAACATATGTAACAGAAAATTCCTTGAAAATCCATTCAGATGTATTTTTACATGTCAACATTTACATATATTATTGTTATTTTGACAATTAGTTACGTGTACAGCATCCAGTAAATATTGGTCTGACGGTAACGTGGTGTCCACGGCCAAAAACAGTCTTGGTAGGACGGCTTCAATTAGTAAAAATGAATTGTAACAGAACTTTTCCTAAAACTTCATTCAAATATATTTGTACACGTCTACAGTTACATGTGTAATTGTTATTTTGACAATTAGTTACGCGTAGTTCAACATAAAGCTGTCGACATGACCAACAGCCTTGAGATTTTTTTAGTCCAAAAATAAACGGTCAAATAGAAAAAATATCCGGTAAACGCCATCCCTGTCTACATTTAACTTTTCACACGACACGAGTGCACCATTTTCTGCAGGTTTATAAGCTCCACACACACAAAGCGTCTAACGCTTCCGTTGTTTACACACCTAGCTGTGCCACCATGCAACGCGCTACGGCACCTGATACGTCATCTGACAAAAACCAATAAAGCACTACTACTCCCCCCCCCCCCCCCTCCATGTTAGTCTACACCCCCCTGCATTAAAGACAACAGTCAGACACGGTGGTGGTAGTGTGATGCACAGAAACCATACACATACCTATTTCTACTGAATAAGATGTTTACCTTACAGAAAAACTACATTTTATTATGCTTTCCCACAAAATCATATATATAGCATGATAGTTAAAATATAAATATTATTAAATAAAAGAAATTAAAATACAAAATCCCAACAGGTAGGCTAGCAATTTTATTAGTAAACCCACATGATCTGTTTTCAATAGTGTGCCGTTGTCGATACCGGATCTCCTCGAGGTCACATTACAGCAAAACCACTCAGCTTTCACACATACGTTTTGGAAAGACATCAGCAGTTTTGTAATGAATTCTTGTTTGTTAACACCTAAAAGTTTTCTTTATATTGTAATTTGTTAATAAAACACCATTTTATCTTTGTTTTGTAATGAATGTGAAACTGCATAAAACCAACATCATACTGCCACAAAAGACAACAGTTCTTATACGTGAAGCCATATCTGTTTGTATTAATGTGGAATTCATCCGTATATTTCCTTAGTTGTTATGCAAACACATCCATTCATTCATTCATTCAAAATGTTGCTTGGTGTCTTTTCAATAAAGCTCTTATGTTTTATTTTCCCCCATTTCATCAAAATAAGAGCCTTTGAAGGCCACCGTTTATCAGTTGATATCTTTGCTTTGATTTAATATTTCCTTTAAAATTCACACATATTTCCTCTGAAAAGTGTTGATTTTTGGACTACAGGACTACAACCGCAAAGACTACAACTGTGAATTCGTTCTGACCAATCAAAATCATCATTGTGAACGTGCTAAAGTAAATTTTATGAACGTGACATCGTAACTCCTGTAAGTCTTGAGTTCAGCCAATCATCTACTGTGACGTAATTTGCAGACGCAGGACCCCGAGCCGATCTGGTACCAACACCGTAGCTGCTCGCCCTGTGTTAAGAACTCATCCAATATGGCGGCAACTCTGTTGCACTTCCCAGGGCTCAATGGGGTGTCTACATTTTCACATCTATGGTGTGATGGTCGGGCTGCTCTGGTTCATCAGGACCTGGATGACTTCCTGTAATCATGGAACCGTAAATTCTGCTCTCCACTAGACAATCCTGAAGGAAAATGTCTGACCTTTGACCTTAAACAAGCCATATCTGCCGTAAACCACTCCAGTGTGGCTGAATTGAAACAGTTCAGCAAAGAAGAATCGGATAAAAGCGTTAGCACAGCAATGTGAGAGAATTATGGCAAGTCATCACAAAGTCTTGACTGCAGTTGTCCCCACCAAGGGTGTTAGGTCAAAGGTCAAAAGGTTAAAAACTTTAAACAATGTTTTATATTACTGGAAACCTGCTCTGCATTAAAGATCATTTCATGCTTTTGTTAAATGACTCAATAATGTACTTTGGCATTTATTTAAATGTAAACATGCTTGCCTATGTAATCATGGGATGGCCTTTCACCTGAAATACACACAATAACACTTCACTGAGGACGGCGTGAGTGTTAAAAACACAGGCCAACATCGCCCCCTGCTGGTCATACAGAGAGTAAACTTTCACCCACTACATAACAAGCCCGAGCATGTTTTTGAGCTGGCTGTGAGTCACCAGCCTGAAAGTGGTGGTTTCCCCCGATCTCACAAATAAGTGTTGCTCTCCAAACATTGAAGTGGAACGTGAACAAGTAAATATTGGACCCGTGGTGAACTTACTGACGCTCAAAACAACTATAAATAAAAATTATAACACAGATGGATATAGAATGGTTTGCCTATATTTAACAAAATTGCTGATTTGCTTCTATTACACATGTGCAGCTGACACAACAAAACGAATTGCTTTATTTAACACAGATTAAATAAACAAAACAGGTCTGGAAGGGGGAAATTTATAAATTTGACCTTGGGGAAAATCCCAAAATCACGGGAAAACCCAATGGACATGGACGTACTTTTCACTTTAGAAGTGCAGGGGCCATGGGGGGTGGGGGTGGTGGTGGTGGGGGGGTATCTTTGCAGTATGTTCTAATGGGAAACAGGCTTCAACACAAACGGTTGTTTTCCGCTTGGTCCTAGAGCTCAACCAGTGTCAATTTAATATAAAGTAATATTGTTTTTGGATGGTAAAAAGTGCCGGGGTCAAAGCTTGACTTTGGAAAAAGTGTGTGTGTGTGTGGGGGGGGGGGGGGGGGGGGGCATGTCCCCCCTGTCCCCCCCCCCAAAAAAAATTACGTCCATGCAAGTGGATTACAGTCCGATAAAAAACAAAACTTCTTGTTTATAGATTTTTTAATACTTAAAACACTACTTAAACTCCTCCACTTGAGGTAGGTGGGAGATCGACAGGCGGATTGGTTCGGCGTCTGCAGTGATGCGGACGCTGAGCCGATCTGTCGTGGTGAAGAGGGAGCTGAGCCAGAAAGCCAGGCTCTCGATTTACCGGCCGATCTACGTCCCAATCCTCACCTATGGTCATGAGCTTTGGGTAATGACCGAAAGAACGAGATCGCTGATACAAGCGGCCGAAATGAGTTTCCTCCGTAGGGTGGCCGGGCTCAGCCTTATGGGCCATTCCCATCTGTACCGGGTCGGCCCGGGCTGGGTAGCGTAGGTTGTTTACATATCTGGGCGGCCTGGTATTTTTCCGGGCCAACCAAGGCTCATTCTCAGCCCTCTTCTCGAGGGGGTCTGCTTCAGACAGACCAGGGCCAACACACCCACTGCTGACAGCAAATTCACACCTTCCATTAGAGCAAGCCTCTGATTGGTGGGTAGAATCACCCCACATGGGCTTAAGACAAGGATGTGTGGAATCAACCGGGCCAGGCTGGGGCCGACTGGGGCTACCCGGCCCGGGCCGACCCGGTACAGATGGGAATGGCCCATTAGAGATAGGGTGAGGAGCTCGGACATTCGGAAGGGACTCGGAGTAGAACCGCTGCTCCTCTGGATCGAAAGGAGTCAGTTGAGGTGGTTTGGGCATCTGGTCAGGATGCCTCCTGGACGCCTCCCTGGGGGGGTGTTTTGGGCATGTCCTGCCAGCAGGAGGCCCCCGGGTCGACCCAGGACACGTTGGAGAGGTTACATCTCCAATCTGGTCCGGGAACGCCTTGGGGTCCTGCCGGAGGAGCTGGTGGAGGTGGCCGGGGAGAGGACGGTCTGGAGCTCCCTAGTTGGGATGCTGCCCCCGCGACCCGGACCCGGATAAGCAGAGGAAGACGACAACGACGACTTAAAAAACTAACAAATGACCATATGTTTTATCATTTTAATACGGAAATTTGAGAAATACTGCCAGATTAATTTTGAATTTTTTAGTCCAATTTGAGTCATGCTATTTTAAAAACAGTAAGCAAACAATACTAAAAATCTGCACCATAAATAATTATAAAACATTAAATACATTTTATAGCTTTTCAAAAAATAGCTTTTGTTTGTGATCCGCTTTTTTGGAAGCCCATTACCGTGCCGATAAATAATTTATCTTCTACTTTCTTATATAATTATTCTAATTTATTTCTCAGTGGCAGGAATGGGCTTGCACATATTCCAGAAAGAATAAAGTATTCATCACATTCATAATCTTTTACTGCTGGTGTGTCTTTTCATGACTTCGGTCACTTCATGTGTGTAAATTGCTTTATAAATAAATAAATAAATATTGATTTTTCTAAGACAGATAAATATTTACTCGTATTTATAAAAATTTTATTATAGATATCCAGACATGTCTTACACATAAACAGTTTGTATGTACAAAAAAAATAACAATCAGCATATTTACAAACAATTCGTGGACCATGTCAAATGTCAGTGCATTTGTTTCGACTTGATTAACAATTAAAATCCCCCCACCTCTCATCAGTCAATACAAAACTGCTTTGATACTATAGATGCCATTTACCACTGACAGTAACCGAATGACACAAAATAAGAGAATGCTTCACCGAAAAAACAGGTCATTACTGCTAACACTTTACTGCGCAAATCGATGCACCCCTCTTAAATCCCAAGGTATTCCACACGTTTATAAACGAGAGATGTCGATGCAGATTGGGCTGAACGGACGATAATAAAGGCGAGGGTTTGTTGCATCTTTCCCTATCTTGTCTTGATTTGCTGTACAACGAAAAACAAAGCATTCCAATATTTAAAAGGAGCACGGAGACCCTTGTTACAAGGGAAATTACTAATAAAGTTCACAAGTCTAAATGGCCAAATGTCCTGCAATGGCTTAAGCGTTACATACAGTGGTCAAACAACCACTTAGTTCAAGCTTCATGAGATTCAAGCAGCCTATCTTCTACAATTTAACAGATGATGGTGACTGATAAGCAGTCAAAGCGTTGGACGACTTTGTTCAGGACGGTTGTGCAATTTGAGACTTTTGGGAGTGTGTCGACACCCGTTTGAAGGCCAAATCTCTCACCGGAACCTTGTTGCACGTTTCTGGACGTTTTTTAGGTTACTGCAAATGTTCCCGGGCCGGACGAAATCCATCCCCCAATTTTGGTCATCTCCATCACATGACAGAACAAGCGGAGAACCCGCAGTAGCATGTGACCTGCATCAGACCAGAGACGTGACCTTTTAAGTAAGAACAGTAGTTTATGCTGCAGAAATGCACAAATCTCTTTCAACTTTGGTGCAATACAATTTGAATGAAAGTGCAAATAAAGTAACTATTATAGAGGGACACAAAACAGCTGGATCCTGAATTTAGATCAATTTTAACCTTTACCCTTCATATAATTTAGAAATATGGCTCCCCCTGCTGGTCGTTCTGCTCGAAACGTTTCCACTACATCTCATCAGAGCGGTGCTGCTGTAAAATCACTGACGGAGGACTTCGATCTATCCAGGCATCTTTGGACCCTGGGACCTCGTTTGACACAGCAGATGCCACTACAGCATCTATGGAGCCTTCCTGTAAGGGCCCCACCCCACCAGGAGCCCCCGGCTTCATGTCTGCAGCCTGAGCGGGACTGGGGAAGTCAGCTGAGGAGTTGCTGCTGACGCCCGTCTCAGAGTCGGCTTGTTCCACCGTCTCAAAGTCAGGCGTGTGGTTCTTCTGGCCGCCTGCGAAGATGGCTTTGGTGTTTTCAACGGTCTGGAGAACAAGAAGGGGCTGATCGTCCTCGAGCTCAAGGTGAGGTACGGTGTCTGAACTTTCTGGAGACAGCGAGCGCAAGTTCCGGGAATAAACTGCTGCAGGGAAAAAATACGTTAGCAAACACAGGCTGCGTTTTTAGATAAGCGTTCAGGCTCGGATGCAAAATAAACAAGAATATTTTGTTTTTACACAACTTACTGGATGACGGTGTGTAAAGTTCCTTATTTTCTGTGTTTCCTCCAAACGGATTAACCGATGGGAAGATGATGAGACAGAAAGAGAGCAGGAACACCTAGAGGGCACAAAAAAGGAGAAAGTTAGCAAAAAAAAATACAACTCTGCATGAGCAAAAGCTAATGTAACCAACACATTTACCATAATGCATGTGCTGGTTGTGCTGGCCTTCATAGTGGACATCTTCACCATAGCCTGAAGCTTCCTCAGCTGCTCTATCAATGAGCTGTAAGAATCAAAAGGACAGTTACAGCTCTAAAGCCTGACTTCACTTCCTTATAGGGTTGTCACGGTGAAAATTTAACCTCACGGTTATTGTGACCAAAATTATCACGGTTTTTGGTATTATCGCGGTATTTTTTAAAACGTGTTACATTTTCAGACAACTAAATAAACCCTGTATATCAGGAAATATTGTCCTCAGTTTATGTCTAAATTTTGCCTAAAACGTGTTATTTTGTAATTACGTTGTTTATTTGTTTACATTTTTCCCCTTTAGTCTTTAAAATACCAATATTTGCCCATAACTTCTTATTTTTTGTCTGTTTGATGTCATCATTTTAAAAATATTAGATCAGATGATACTCAGTACTCAAGTAGCCTTCTGATCAGATACTTTTTTACCTTTACTTGAGTAATAAACCCTATATCAGGAAAATATTGTCCTCGGTTTGTGTTCCAGTGAGCTTTGCAGATGTGGGAAAATGTCATCAGGCAGTAATCATTGTTAAATTCCTAATTATTCTCGGAGAGAGACCAACTCTTATCTGCCCCTGGGAGCCCCGTAATGCATAGCGTCATTTCAACATGGGGGTGTCCGCGACACGGTTTATATGCAGGTAGCGGCGCTGCGGCTGCTTTATATAGCGACTCGATGCATTCTCCCTCAACCCAAATCCTCGGATCACGCATTTTAGCTAAAACGCTAACGTTAGCTTGCCTTGCGTTGACTGTAGAGTTGTGGGTGATGGTCACGCAGATGTGTCATGAGATTTGAAGCGTTGCTGCCTTTCACAGACACTTTTTCTGCACGTGCTGCAAACAGGATAGCCGTCTTCTATCAACTGTCCCTCGGCATTCTTCAAATATCCAAAACATGCCCGTACTTCCCACTTTGTCTTCTTTGAGGGATAATAAATGTCCTGAGCGCTGCCGTCTCCTCCTTTGGCCATTATTTCAGCTTTAGCTTCAAGAAAGTTTTGGTTGTAAACAACAAAGTGCGCATGTGCCGCCGGCAACTTCAGCAGATGATACGGTGGCTGGTAAGGGTCACTGCGCCTACACCGCAGCCACGGTAATCCACCGAGATTATATAGTTTTTTTAAAAACAAGACGGTTATTATTATTGTCAACTTTTTTACCGGGGTTTACTGCTACACCGGTTACCGTGACAACCTTACTTCCTTATGAATGAACTACAGAGGGACGTCCAGGACTTCTTACATGTTCTGTTTCTGAAGCAACTGGACTTTCTTCTGCAGTTCCAGGTTGTGTGCAGTGCAGATGGCAACCCTGTTGAATGTAAACCACTCAGTATTAGTCGCTTCATGCAAACACACACATGCACATGCAAATTACATTTACCAAAGCAGTCACCTGTTCTCCAGGCCATCAACATACACTTTCTTCTTCTTGCGGCTCTCCTGAGCAGACTGCTTGTTGCGGATCTTCCTCCTGACCCTCTTCAAGGTCCTCTCCTCAGCCTGTTACACAAAGCAAACGGGGCCGTCACCACTATGCTGACATGAAAGGTGAGGATGAGTATAAAACAAGCCAGAACTGCAACAGTGAAGAAAAGTCAAGCCGGAAAAGAAGGACAGAGAAATGATTTTAAAAAATGAAATCATCATGGAAATAAAACGATGCCGACATGTATTGTAGGTCTCGTCCATGCTGTTTTATTAATTATGACATCATCATTTCAAATAAATACAAAGTGTCTAAATGACCTTTGTGAGAGGCATGTGCGTGGGGATGGTGAGTCCTTCTTTAGCCAGAAGTCTCTTCTCCTCCTCAGTGAGAACGATCTCTTTGAACTGGAACTGAATGAATGAAAACATTTTTGCATCAGTCACAACCTTCAATGGAAGTCACGTCAACGTCAACCACACTAGAACCACGGGGGTAGGGATGTAAGAAAATATCGATATGGCAAAACATCGTGATATTTTTTCCTGCGATTATTACATCGATATTCAAAAGCCATGTATCTAATTCTTGAATTTACATGCAAACATTTGTGTATTTTCTTTTCGTTTTGTGCAATTCAATCACCACCTGCTAGTTGGCAGCAGTGTGCAACGGGTTTTGTTTCCACCATTGAAATGTAAATCCCTCCATCATGGTTCAGATACCTCATGTTAAACATGTTACGCATCAGTTTCTAGGGATGGGTACCTTTGACATTTGAATCGATCCGGTACTAATTCCCGGTACCTAGGAATTGATACCGGTACTTAACGGTACCAATTTTCGATACTTTTGAGTGTTTAATATTTTAATTCTCTTTTATAATTAAATATATATTTTTCTCAATTTATAACCATATTTGATGAATATCGCGATAAATAACACAACTGTTTGTATTTTAACATCGCCCTTGTAGTTTTATAAGCTGATAATTAAACTGAAGCAAACATCTTTACTGTGAACTAAATTTACTGTGTATCTTCATTCCTTTTGCCGTCCTTTTTCATTTGATTTTTTCCTACTGGGAAGTTAGAATTTCCGAGGAGAAAGCGAACGCACCATTAGCTGATAACAATGGTAGCAATGTAAGCTAACATACCAAGCTAACGTTATCTTAAACTGTTTATTTAGCTGCTGGAGCAGATTAAAACGATGATGCCTCACACTTAGATCGTTGTCGCTGGTTTCGTCTTCACCCAATCACCCGTCGCATTTAGTAAAGTGAAGCCAAACTTCATAGAGCGCGTTCATGTTCTTCTAGTCGGGAATTCGGAGTTCCGAGGAGAAAGCGAACGCACCATTAGCGAGACGGAAGCTAACATATCAAGCTAATTATGTTTACCTACCTGAGCAGATTAAGATGAGGATGTCTCACTTAGATCGTTGCCGCTGGTTTCATCATCACCCAGTTACCCATCACATTTAGTGAAGTGGACCCAAGCTTTAGCGTGCGTTCTTTCTACCATGCTGCTCTGTTTACAACTGGTTCGCAGCGAGCGACGACATAACGCTCTTGTGCATGCGCAGCTGTCTTGGCAAGTTCTCGTTATGAAGGACGGGTACCGAAACGAGGCACCGTTTGAAATGACCTGAATCGGTGCTCGGTCGGTACTATGGAATTCGGTCGGTACCTTAAAAAGTACCGAATTCGGTACCCATCCCTAGTTTGGGCTGTTTATTGAACATTCTTACAATAAATTCAGTAAAAAAAAATTGCTTGTAACGTCTGACTGAATGTATCGCAATATATCGTGATATATCGTATCGTCTCGTATCGTGATATGTAACGTATTGCCAGAATTTCAAAAATACACATCCCCGCACCAGGGGGTCTTTCACATGTCCAGATCAGTCATCTTGTTAAATATGAGGTATTTGTAATAAAAATATAGGAATTTGGATCATTTATACTTCAAAACACCACAGGGATCATTTTAATCCCCATGAAGACGACATCATGTTTAGGTAGAAGCTCTGGCGCAGCACCCACCGATTTCTTTATTTCAACAGCGGAAAGAATAATTTACTTTTTGCTCATCATTTTTGTAAAATATGCTTTTTAAATGATATTAGGGTTCAGATTTCAGGTCATTATTTTTATGATCAACATTTCTTTTCTGATTGATCTGTAATCACATTTTTTTTCCAACTCTTTAGTGCATATAAACATTCTGATGACATAAATTCGATTTTCTAAATGGCTAACTGAATTCTTGTTCACTCGTCTACTATTGAAAAAGTAGATGGTTGACATTTATGTTTAAAATAGGTAAAAATAAAAGAAAAAATTAAATTGCTTTATTAAAAAATGTTTTTAAGACAAACGTTGTAGTTTTAAAACTGTTTTTTCCATCGTGTCACGTGATGGAAAAAACATCTTTAAAACCACGTCGTAGGGCTGGGCGATATGGACCAAAACTTATATCTCGATATCTTTAAGCTGAATTCCGATATACGATATATATCTCGATATTTTTCCTCCTGTAAACTGTTGACAAGTTAACTCACTTCAAGCTCTTGAGAAATTATATACATAAATCAGTAGGTTAAATGCATAAAAATGTATTGATTCTTGTCAAACTTTAACCGTAGTGCCTATTCTCTACCAGTCTGAGCTTTAGTAACACAGGTACAGCTGTCTGCTAACACACACACACACACACACACCCACACACCCACACACCCACACACACCCACACACCACACACACACACACACACACACACACACACACACACACACACACACACACACACACACAGTTGAGAGCCAGAGGTGTATCAAATGTCCCACAGGCACTTTTTAATTATATATTTATAATTAATGTAAAATTATTTAAATTTCATCTAGAGGTGGCCCATATTGTATAGGTCTTGTCCAGAGAAAAAAAAATCCATCATGTTAAGCTAAATGTACGATGATGTAATTGCACCTACTGAAGATCACATGGGTCATGCACCATGGAGTTATTAGTTATTGGAAAAACTAGTTATTAACTAGTTGTTAGTTATTAGTTAGCAGTGTTGGCTCATATCAGCAATTATACTGTAATGATTCAGAGTCTCTGGTTGCTCTTTTATGAGTGTTATTTTCGGGCTACTGTCTAGGGCTGCAACAACGAATCGATGAATTCGATGAAAATCGATTACTAAAAGCGTTGGCAACGAATTGCGTCATCGATTCGTTGTGTCGCACAACTCTTCCAAAAGCGCCCCCCCCCCCTTCCCGCCCACCGTTGCGCGCAGACCAGAGCAAGTCAGATCAGCGCGAGGGAGAGCCGCAGATCAGCGCGAGGGAGAGCCGCAGATCAGCACGAGGGAGAGCCGCAGATCAGCACGAGGGAGAGCCGCAGATCAGCGCGAGGGAGAGCCTGCAGACTTGCGCTGCTGCGAACCGGTTCCGCATTGTTGCACAGCGATCCAGGCAGCTGCTTCCAGCGCACGGTCCATTCTCAAAGTGGCGCAACCAAAAAACTATAATTAGCACACGATCGTTCTTGTCTGCACATGTTCTCTATTTTCTGTCTTATTTGTGCCTGAAGCGCTCTGCTGTGGAGCTCATCACCTGTGCTGTGGTGATTTCACCTCACGCAGCATCGAAAACGCGCTCTCCGCTTTGCGGTCAGGAGATCTCTTTGATCTGCTCAAAAGTAACTGATGAGGTGAAAAGGTAAGAATCCAGGCAACAGATTTTCTGGAGAATTATGAGGAGATGCAGGAAGATGAGAGACAGACAGGACAGGAAAATAGTTAAATAAAAACAAGAAAACAAAGTAAAATGTAGGTAGATTTATCTCCACTACACGTTTTTACCAGTAAAAAACAATAAGTTATACACATGTCATAGTTATACATCTGATACAATTCAGATCACCTTCAAAACTCAGTCACACACCCAGGGCCGTTTCAAGACATTTTGGGGGCCAAGGCAAAATCCCCCCCCCCCCCCCCCCCCCCCCATAACTGGGCTCCCCAGAAGCCTCTGTGTAATTCATGCCCTCTCCAGGAGTATTAGTTATACAGTGTTTGTAAAAGCCCCTCAGACATTACTGACATGTTCTAATATATCAGATGAAAAACTAAATTATCAGACATGCTGTCTCATCAGCTTCTTTTCTAAACTTGCAAAAAGTAACAAAACCATTTGAAAGCCACTATTTGTGGATTATCTGAAAGTTTCCATGGAGTGTGTGACAACTTATTTTATCATTGATCCTATCGTCTAATCTCACAGCTGAAACAAGCATCCTTAATAATCTGTGCACAGGAAGCTTACCGATGCTGTAGTAAAACAAAAGGTATAATAATTTATTATTAATAAAACCTTGTTGCAGCACTAAAGCATAAAAATGAGATTTTGCATTAAATATGCAAAATATTTACATATGAATTGTTTTAGAGCCCTTTTATTGGCAGAATCTGATATTAATTTAGTTCTTACAAAAAATGGGTCCCAACATGGTTTGTGTGGTGTTGCCATAGTGTGACATCATAGGCACAGATCCCCTGTCCTCTTGTTTGGAAATGGAAATATGGTCACCCTACATTAAACAAACTGTCCACCCGGGCTTTTACGCTGCACAGAGACGCTTCGCTGCCTACGACTGAACGTCAGTTGAGAGTCAGTCTCATGCAGACTGACCAATGAAGAGAGGGCCTCAAGTTAAGACCCTCTCCTCATTGGTCAGTCCACACGAGGTGGGTCAAAGGTTACTCTGGGCGGGTTACGTGTTGTCAGGCATTCAAGTATTGAGTATATTTACTGCATATTACAGTAAAATATTCTGTATGTGACCACATTATGGTGATCCTCGGGTCGTGATGATGGAGCCCTTGAATATTGTTGCCCAGGGTACAACAAAGTGTTAATCTGGCCCTGGTTCCGCCGTCACATTCCCGCAGAAACTGGTTGATCACACCGGGGCCAGACTATTTTAATTATTTTTGGGTTCAGTTGCTTTCATGTGGCCTAATGTGAGTCTATTTGGGATCATTGGAATGATCAGCAGCATTTCTTGATGTGACTTTATGGCAGTTGCCCAGGGCATCATCGCAAGGAGAATGGCATTCATTTACTTTTGTTTTATTTGGTATTTTTTCAGTCAGTTTTGGAAATAGTGATCAATTTTGATTAATTCACAGCCTATGTTTAATTACATTTAAAATAAATGTCAACAGATGAGATCAAACAAAACAGATGAGAATTGCCCTTAAGCTGTTTAACTTGGACCAAGCATTTTAGGTCACAGATAGATGTAGCTTAGGGTCTCTGTCTATACACCTTATAAGACAATTTAGGTGATGGCATGTTGTTTTTCTGCTATTGAACTGTTTTCTAATAATGTTGTGTTAAATAAAGTGAAGGAAGGAGAGAAATAACGTTTCCCTAGCAGTTTTAAAAAATTTCCCCATGTAATCCGATTAATCGATTAATCGTGTCGAGACCCCATCCGATTAATCGATTATCCAAATAATCGTTTGTTGCAGCCCTACTACTGTCGCCATAACCCACACCTTACAAACTCAACTTTTTTTATCAGAATCCCTCGTAACGGAGTATTTACTAGCATAGCAAACCAGAGCGGAAAAAAACGGAGCCGGAACAACATTTCTCACCCGTTGAGTTCGCCTTCGAAATAAAACGGTAACCCTATAGTTTACTATTCAAACCCTTAAATATGTTTCAGGTCATTTGGCCACTCCGGCTTTCCGTAGCCGTTTCCTCATTACACAGAGGAGGGAGGGGTTTGGCTCGTCTCTCCGCACAAGCAGGATGGAAAACAGAACTCTGTTGGCATTGAACGTCCCCAAATAATTAAAAACCAGGAGGCCAAATGCAAAGTTTAGAGCAGCACATTTACCCAGAGGCTCTCAGACTGAGCAAACTTGTGAGAATACACGTAATAGCCGCTTACAGACGGAGCAACATGTCGCTAGCATAGCGGCTAATCGCTAGCATAGCAGTTTGGCCAGTTATATCGATATAAAGATATAAAGTCATCTCATATCTTGTTTGAAAATTATACCGATATTTAAAGAATATCGATATATCGCCCAGCCCTACCACGTCGTATTGAAAGAAAATAAGTAAATTTAGTTTATAACAAAGACAAATTTAACCTTTTTAATATAGTATGCATATGTACATGCACATGTATACATATATATGTAGGGATGGGTACCGAATTCGGTACTTTTTAAGGTACTGACCGAATTCCATAGTACCAACTGAGCACTGATTCACGTCATTTTGAAACGGTGCCTCGTTTCGGTACCCGTCCTTCATAACGAGAACTTGCCTAGACAGCTGCGCATGCGCAAGAGCGTTACGTCGTCGGTCGCTGCGAGCCAGTTGTAAACAGAGCAGCATGGTAGAAAGAATGCACGCTAAAGCTTGGGTCCACTTCACTAAATGTGATGGGTAACTGGGTGATGATGAAACCAGCGACAGCGATCTAAGTGAGACATCCTCATCTTAATCTGCTCCGGTAGGTAAATAAAATGTTTAAGATAACGTTTGCTTGATATGTTAGCTTCCGTTCCGCTAATGGTGCGTTCGCTGTCTCCTTGGAACTCTGAATTTCCGACTAGAAGAACATGAACGCGCTCTAAAGTTTGGCTTCACTTTACTAAATGCGACGGGTGATTGGGTGAAGATGAAACCAGCGACAACGATCTAAGTGTGAGGCATCATCGTTTTAATCTGCTCCAGCAGCTAAATAAACCGTTTAAGATAACGTTAGCTTGATAAATTAGCTTCCATTGCCACCGTTGTTATCAGCTAATGGTGCGTTCGCTTTCTCCTCGGAAATTCTAACTTCCCAGTAGGAAAAATCAAATGAAAAAGGACGGCAAAAGGAATGAAGATACACAGTAAATTTAGTTCACAGTAAAGATGTTTGCTTCAGTTTAATTATCAGCTTATAAAACTACAAGGATGATGTTAAAATACAAACAGTTGTATGTTATTTATCGTAATATTTATCAAATATGGTTATAAATTGAGGAAAAATGTGTATTTAATTATAAAAGAGAATTAAAATATTAAACACTCAAAAGTATCGAAAATTGGTACCGGGAATTAGTACTGAATCGATTCAAATGTCAAAGGTACCCATCCCTACATATATGTATACATATTTTGCAAAACATGAGTGACCATTCAACAAAAGAAAACATCATATAAATGTGCTTTTTGTTTTGTTGTTTTTCAAGGCACACTTGGTAGTTTAGCTTGCTTTTAGCACCCCCTAGAGTTAGTTTTAACTCACTGTCGTAAAACCGAAAGTGAAACTCTTCCCCTCGATGTTAATCTAACGGCTGAAACGTCTCCCAAGCCTTCATTGGTGTCTACAGGAGTGATTCATCACTAAATTAAACAAACCAGCTGTGTTCCTGATGTAAGACTCGTACTGCCAGGATAAACTCACCTGGCCTTCTTTATCAGTATCTGTTGAAGCGTTTTCCATAGAGAGCGTGCAGGGCAGCTCGCTGATGATGTCCTCCTCCATGGCATCACTCACCAGATCATCTGTGACATCAAATTATTAATTTAAAATAAACTTAATCCTAACTTGTTACATCAGCTCCGTATGTTGTCACTTTCCTAACAACACCTACCCAGATCGATGAAGACGTCAGTATCTGGCTTCTCGGCCCTCACGCTCTCCAGAACGTCCAGGTCCCTGGCTCCGCTCTGCAGCAGGGAGTAGCTGTGATCTGTATGGACCATTAGGGCCTCAGCGTTATCAGATGGCAGCTCGGCAGATGTCTGAGCTGGATCTGAATGCACTGGGCTGGGATGGGAATAGGTGGGACTGGGAACAACGTCGCTTTCACTGCCGTGAGGACTTGAGCACTCCGGGACATTGCCGTTTCCTGCTGCTGAGCTGCTGTCGTCAGAGATGCCGCTGTCACTCCCCAGTGGAGAGTGAGAGGGACAGAAGGCCTCCATGTTGTCTTCTACGTCTAACAAGCTGGACAGGAAATCTTCTGTGTCCAAACCTGTCAGCATCTTAAGAGAGAAATACGCCGTTGGACTGAATAACTCTTACTTACATGAATTAATTATTCTCAAAGCTCTATAAAAATTTAAGATAGAAGTAAAGTATTACTTTAGATCTTTTGAGAATGAAATGGGGAGATCATGATTAAATGATGCACTAAGCAGCAATTTTAGTAAATTAGGTCTTACATCCTGATCAGACAGCCAGGATTCAATGAGCCCATTCCCATCAGGAAAAAAGGGCTCAGTGGATCCGTCTTCTCCGTCCTGGAACAGCAGTCCCAACAGATCTGCTCCATCCATGTCTGGAAGGTCCTCAGTAGCGGACATCTGTGGTACCAAATCAGCAACCAGATCACAGATGGTGACATTTTTCATCACAACAGCATCTAAACTCGAGCAACAACATGCTTACGTGGGATAAATAAACGTCACTGAAGGAATTTCAAGCACTCAGGGTGTGATGTCATGGATGCTCTACAGTTTCACAGTTTTGTATGGATATACATACATATGAGGTGAAGTTTAGACAGTTTTAAGTAAACAAGCTTTAATGTGATCATTTAGATATTTTAAAATGTGTTTCAGATAAAAAATGATAAAAATGTAGGATCTTGTACGTTGTAAGTAAGCACCTCTTTGACTTTGAATTATTAGGAAAATGGATACGTTCCGACTGGAAAACCACGGTGGCAGATCATTACAGAGAAGCCAGCTAGAATAGACTAATGCCATTAAAATAAACCCTCTAATCTAAACAATGTCACAGTGTTTTACTAACAAAGTTTCATTAACCTTCAACTGCAATGATCAGTTATTTACATACATTTTTATCTAGTTTTAATTTTTTATTTCTGCTGGGATAGTTATGTAATTTTGAAAGTGACAGCACTGCCAAGGTTTAAAACGTGTGTCAAATAAAAGCCTTAGGAATAACTGCTAGAGCAGATTAGAGTTATTCTGACAGAAATCCACTCTGTAAACACTAACCAGCCCCATTGTTAGCTTATCTGTTTGGTGTAGGGTTGACACGGTGTGAAAATTTAACCTCACGGTTATTGTGACCAAAATTACCACGGTTTTCGGTATTATAGCGGTATTTTTTTTAAACGTGCTATATTTTCACACAATTAAATAAACCCTGTATGTCAGGAAATATTGTCCTCAGTTTGTGTCTAAATTTTGCCTAAAATGTGTTATTTTGTAATTATGTTGTTTATTTGTTTACATTTTTTCCCTTTAGTCTTTAAAATACCAATATTTGCCCATAACTTCTTATTTTTTGTCTGTTTGATGTCATCATTTAAAAATATTAGACCAGATGATACTCAGTACTCAAGTAGCCTTCTAATCAGATACTTTTTTACCCTTACTTGAGTAATAAACCCTATATCAGGAACATATTGTCCTCGGTTTGTGTCCTTCCAGTGAGCTTTGCAGATGTGGGAAAATGTCATCAGGCAGTAATCATTGTTAAATTCATAATTATTCTCGGAGAGAGACCAACTCTTATCTGCCCCTGGGAGCCCCGTAATGCATAGCGTCATTTCAACATGGGGGTGTCCGTGACACGGTTTATATGCAGGTAGCGGCGCTGCGGCTGCTTTATATAGCGACTCGATGCATTCTCCCTCAACCCAAATCCTCGGATCACGCATTTTAGCTAAATCGCTAACGTTAGTTTGCCTTGCGTTGACTGTAGAGTTGTGGGTGATGGTCACGCAGATGTGTCATGAGATTTGAAGTGTTGCTGCCTTTCACAGACACTTTTTCTGCACGTGCTGCAAACAGGATAGCCGTCTTCTATCAACTGTCCCTCGGCATTCTTCAAATATCCAAAACATGCCCGTACTTCCCACTTTGTCTTCTTTGAGGGATAATAAATGTCCTGAGCGCTGCCGTCTCCTCCTTTGGCCATTATTTCAGCTTTAGCTTCAAGAAAGTTTTGGTTGTAAACAACAAAGTGCTCATGTGTCGCCGGCAACTTCAGCAGATGATACGGTGGCTGGTAAGGGTCACCACGCCTACACCGCAGCCACGGTAATCCACCAAGATAATATAGTTTTTTTTAAAGCAAGACGGTTATTATTATTGTCAACTTTTTTAACGGGGTTTACCGCTACACCGGTTACCGTGACAACCCTAGTTTGGTGTGGATTAAATGCTGTTTCTTTAGACTGAGGTTGTTCAAATAGCTAACTAAAAAAGGTTAGACTTTAATTTTACACAGAAAATCGCTCCAAAAAATTCTGTACCGTCACTTTAAGGCAAACAAATAATAAATAAAATACAACACAATTTAAAAAACAAATAAAACCAATGTCCTCAGAAAAATAATCACAATAATAAATAGGATGTTTATTTATTTGATTTCCTGATGCAGCTTTATATGCTGCAATATTTTTTGGGATCCAGCTGAAGAAAAACAATGAACCCTTCACCATTGTTTGGCTGCTTATCCACAAGGCCACTTGACTTTTTTACAAAAATATCAACAGTGACAGGATATCCTGATAAAGTATATGCACACCTGATTATAAAAAGTTACTTATTTATTATGGCCAAATTTAAGCACTATGGAGAGACAAAGGACTCTGTAGTAAACGGTCCTTTATGCAAGATGCTGCCTAGGACTCCACGTGGCTGCTGCAGGAGTAAGTAGGCGATTTTTTTCTGTCATCAGCAGCCAGTATCTTCATAAAGGACTGCGAAAAATCATTATGCCTCCCTGATGCGACTGATCACAACACACCATGTCTAAAAACCTCCCATTATTGCATCATCGCTGAGATTTCATCATGACCTCATCTCTAATTAGCCCCACCCCCATCCTGCCCCTTTTATATCCTGTTCAATCCATCAATTATCAAAACAACATGGCACGATCATAGCTGACGCCAATTAACTGAAAGGGGTTTTATCAACTGAAGGCAGATTGGTTGAAATGATTATTTATTATTATTATTATTTTGCAGGGCAAATCAGGGGTGTCTTTGTTTTACTGTTTTAATAATTACTGTAGCTACTATCTAACAAGTAGGATATAAATACGTGACCGGCCTACAGGACTAGTGTAGAATGTAGGTCTAAATGTAAACTTAGCTAACAGCAAAGAGCAGTAAACGTCTAAGCTAACACAGATCAGCAGTGACAACAATTGAGCTCTAAATACTTGTGTTGAGGGCGTGGTCCGTTGTGGTATTAAAAGCTCCAGCAAACATTCACATAATTATGTCAACGTAAACATTTTCTTACCGTTTGATGATTAAAAACAAATTGTCAAACTCGAATGAGTGTGGTCGACCGTCTTTCGTTTACCCAACTCAGCTATTTCCTTCTGTGAACATCTGCAGTCGAAGCACTTCCTCCCGAAACCACCTTCCAACAAGGCAGAAAATGCGTCACGACGCAAAGGCGGAAGTGAGTTCCGTACGCGGCCTTTCTGAGGGCTCCTGGGAAATGTAGTGAAAAGCAAAACTGTGTCACGTTTCGTCATTGACCTAGTTTCTGGGTTTTTGTGAAATAATTCTTTATTATTTGATTAAAATCGAATTTATTTTAGACTTACAGTAAAATAAAATTACATACAGCTTTAGGTCATTTGAAAAGCAAATTTAATGGGAAAAAAGTTTATGCTTCTACATTTTGTGGCTTCAAATGCATTAAAAGATTGTAAAAACAATTGTAAATATTTCAAATAATACCCTGAAATTATATTCTGTTAAAAATGGTTTTATACAAATAAATTCAGTTGAGTAGCCTTTGTAAATGTGACAACACACCATTACCAACTGTAAACTATTTATTCAATGGGCAAACACAAATGAGTTTCAGTTAAAAATGTATTTCCGTCAGTAGGCTACATTAGTATGGGCATGGCATATACAACTGAAATGTATTTTTTTTTTCAGTCAAACCTGAAAAATGCATTTGCTACTTCAACTAACATTTCTGATAGTTGGTATCATATCATTCACCACATTATTGTCATGTACTTGCTTTTTCAGGCCATAATATAAAACAATATGGACAGTGAGGTCTGCAGTAGGAACATCTCATTGAGATATATCACATAAATATATAATCTCCCTTTTTTATTCACAAACAAGAATGAAAGCAGTATGCTAGTTTTCATATCACCATAGAAATTATTAAGGCATTAGAGGAAGGTGCAAAAAAAAAGATCAAAGACAATATTTAATATTTTTAACATATAATTTATCAGCTTTCAAACTGATTGCACTTTTTATTTCTAACATTTTAGCTTATTTTTACTATTATTTTATGATTTGTTGTTATTCCTGCGCAGAGAAAAACCTATGGTTCACATGGCACAAACAAGTTCTGTATGCCATCTAACCATGAAGTGTTTTTAAGATCAATTATATTTAATTATATGTTAAATTTCAGGTCTTTGTCAGAAAAAAAGACAATAATGACAAACTTGCAGCAGCATTCTCACAGAGACTACATTTCGTTACAAGAAGAGAGATACTAAATTAAGAAATCTCAAGTTGCAAGAGCTGAATTGGACTGAAGTACCATTACTTTATGCTACTGGACTGAAAAGCATTTCTAATTTTATCCATGCAGTTTCATACCAGACTATGAAAACAACTGCCTTGCAGAGAGGATTGAACTCTTTTTGTCACAAAATCACACATAGTTTGGACGTGTGTCGCAGACTTCTGTACACTTTTAGACGTTCCTTCTTATTTGTTGTAGTTGGACCAACTTTCTGTGTGACAGCAGGTGTGTTCTCAGCGACCCGCCTTTTCTGGGTCCGATGCAGAAGGATCCGGTAGACCCCAGTGATGGAGCTTCTGCAGTCTTTTCCCTGATTGTTGAAGATGTGCTCTGCAGTGATTCCCAGTGTCTCTAGAGCAGCTTTCACCTCCAGCTCCTCCTCCAGCAGCTCAGATGGATCAGTGTCAGCCAGATAGAACGGGTCCAGTTTAAATGGCTCCATGGCCTGTGGGAAATCCACAGGAAGCAGCCACTCACAGCCAATCATCTGCTCCACTGTGTAGCGGTCAGATGGTATAGGCTGGAGGATTCCCCTGATGAGCCTCTGGCATGCCTCTGGCACCCAGGTGGGTAGTATGTAGGCTCCGTCTATGATGCATCGCTTTAGTTTGGCCACAGTGTCTGCCCTGAATGGCATGGTGCCAGTCACCATAAGGAACAACATGACCCCAAGAGCCCAGATGTCTACAAAAACACCAACATAATGCTCATCCCGAAAGAGTTCAGGTGCAGCGTAGGGCGGAGAGCCGCAGAAAGTGTTGAGTGTCTCATCGCGGCGGCTCAGCGTGCTAAAACCAAAGTCCCCAACTTTGACACAAGTGTTGCTGGTGTAGAAAACATTCTCTGCCTTCAAGTCACGGTGGATGATGTTGTTTTCATGCTGTTTAAAAAAATAAAGGTAGATTCATGAACGTGTCCCACAAAAACATTATTTCACAAATTGCCACGGAACTATATGTAAGAATTTTACAGTAAAATGATCACAAAACAGTCTAAGGTCTCGGTCATATTGGAAAGAAGTTTACATAGAAACAGATTTCCTTCTCAGCTGGCTAGCGTGCAGTCTTTGTTTACAATCTGTGAACCTGTGGGGTGTTGGCTAACATTGCAGCGTTTGTAATTTGACACTGGCTGGCAAAACGCAGCAGTGTTTTCTAAGGATCCTAAGCCAAGGAGCGACCCAGAAGTTATTTCTTGTCACCCTAGGAAGTCACAAAATCTTTTTGTTTTACTCTAATATTGGGTAAAGAAGACTAGAGGCTAACATTGAGCTAACAACGCTAACGGTGAATTCGAAGCAAGTATTTTTCTTTGTTATGTTCGTACTAAGTTTGCTTTCTGATTTTGTTTTCTTTAGTTCTTCGTTGTACACGGTGTGATGAGGGTTTGTTTTTACCTTTGTCGACATGTTTCGACGAAGACGGTAGTGACGTCGAAACATATCAGCAAAGGTAAAAACAAACCCTCATCACACCGTGTACAATGAAGAACTAAAGAAAACGAAATTAGAAGCAAACAGTCGGCTCTAAAAATATCTCAAGCTACTTTTTCAATAGGCAGCAACTCAATATTACAGTGAACACAACTTTCTGTGTATGCCTGGTCTTCGCTCGTCATCTACGATTTTCTGGTGCTGATTTGTAACTGGCAACAGCCATGAAACTCAAAGAGCGGTAGTAAGAAAGTCACGTGTTTTAATTTTGAAAAAGGGTTGCAGTAACCACATTTGACCGCAGTATGTCATTTTTATTTTGTCCTTACATAATGCACCTTTAAGACAAATCATCAGTTAGAGTTGCCAATGTCAGGGCTTGAATTACACACAGGCTTCTGTGGAGCCTAGTGAGAATGACATGACGTGGGGGGGGGGGGGGGGGGGGGGCTCGTCTGTCTGACCACCTTCATTATAATGATAGGAGAGTGAGGATGGGGGGTAAGATGGATCATTTCTCAGGCTCCTCGTTGGCGTGTCAGTTGAGGGCTTCCAGGGGAGCCCAGCACCATTTTGGGGGTGCTGGGCTCCCCCTAGCTCCCCCATAGATTCAAAACCCTACCAATTATTAAAAATGTATGTTCAAAGATCATTAAATTTAAAAGGAAATTTGAAATGAACATTTTTTTTCTGTCAGTTGCTAATAGTTTCCTTCTTGTGCTTGTTTGTCTACATTTAACGTTTTTTTTATGATTTATGATTTTTTTTCTTCTAATTTCACATCAAACTTCAGAACAAAGCAAGAATTTTAGAAAGACTGACACCTCATTGTAAGTATTTTTTATAGATTCCACACACACACGAGCTTCAACGCACTGACCATGTGTTTCACAGCAGAGACGATCTGAGCAAAGACAAGCTTTCCGTCAGTGTCAGAAAGTTTTCCTTCTGTAGTTATCTTGGTGTAGAGCTCCCCTCCACCTGCATACTCCATCACTAAATGTAGTCGTGACAAAGTCTCCACCACCTAAAGAAGACAAAAAAAAAAAAAATTAAAAAAACAAAGATTACTGTTTTAAATTGTGTTGGAGTAAAGGAGACAGGGTGTCAGCTGACCATGAAGTAAATATCAGACCGACCTCATACAGGCGTATGATATTGGGGTGGTGTAATTTTTCCATGCTGGAGATCTCTCTGGAAAGCAGTCTCTGGGTCTTCTGATCCAGTTTGGTTTTGTCTAAGATCTTAATGGCCACTTTGTCTGGTGACACCAAGAAAGAAATGTATGAATAAAATCTGTAATGTGACTTTTTAAGCGACACTAAGCAACGTTTAACGCTTTAACCTGTTCGGGGTTCGTTGATTGTGTAAGAAGAATCTTTACCAAATTCACATGGGACATCCCTCTGCTGACCAGAAATAGCACTTAACAGTTTTGTGTAGCGGGTATGGTGTCCTATGGGGTGCTTTTTAACTGCTTAACAGCTTTTAGCTATTTTCTGTGCCGGTAGCCAATAAAAAGGCTAGCAGTTAGCTTTCTCAGTTCACTGACTGTCAATAAAAAACACAAGAAGAGAAAATGTTTGCTTTTTTTTGGCACCATGAAGAAGCCTGGAAGTAAAAGCCAGACAGTAATGTCTTTGGAGATGAAGCAAAGAGCTAAAACCAGAGTGAACATCGGCACGCCCTTCACTAGTTTCAGGGAACTATAGGAGGCTACGAAGTCACAGGCTGACGGTGACCTGGCTTTGTTGCTACTGGACTTGTAAGTAATACTATTTCTTGTCCAAGAGCACATATCTTTTTAATTTGTGGCTAATTTAGGATCAGAGCTGGTTCATGTTGATGTTAGCTCATTGTTAGCGTTAGCTACAGCAGGCTGCTGCAGGCTTGCTTAATGACAGTTGTAATTCATTTTTTAACCAGTAGGACGCTACAAACAGTTCAGTGTTACTTTAAGTTTCTAATTTTTTCTTTATTGTTTTAAATAAAAAATATCTAAAGTTTCACATGCAACACATCCATACGCCCATTACATTTGTTGATAGATTAAATGCCTTCTGTCACCTTTAAATCTACATAACAGCAATTCTAAGTTCACACAGAAAGGTTAGAAAAAAGGTCCAGACTACATCTAACAGTACAGAGTGTGTTGATTTAATTTTAAAAGCATCTAAACACTAAATGAATATTAAATCAAAACAACAAAGATCTTTGGTGTGTCTTTAAATCATTCATAGAGACAAATAAAATGCTTCTCAGGTGTCTGAATACAGAAAAGTTCTGGTGATGGCGATGAGATATCCAATTGTGCTTTGGTATGCATTATTAATGCAGGTATTAGGCTCCATTTCATCTCCTACATAGCTGTAAATAGGAGTTTTTAAAATGTTTTGCAGCTCATATTCGTTTGGGCTGAGTTTTGCGGTTTACATGCACACACACACTCATTGTAGAGAAGCCAGGAAACCCTAAAGCATGGGATGCACACAAATAAACTATGTCACACACTCATGTCTGCCTCCCATCTGTGGTCTTTGACAAGGCATGCAGCAATTTTAGTCGTCGCTAAGGAAACCGGAGAGCTCTAATCAATCCCTGTGGTCAAAAGCAGCAGACAGGCTTCCTCTCTAAGGCTGAATTAGCCCTCCCAACCTGACACGTTACGTTGTTATAGGCGTGTTTCCATTGCCAGAACTTCAGGGTAAATTCTAGGAGAGGGAAATTGAGCGGGACATACGATGTTGTGTCTCCATTCAAATTCAGCTCTTTCAGGACTTTGCAGACGTCAGCCTATCACGGCTGCTTCGGCAGTGAGTGATGTCACTGATCAGCGCCAAAAAGCTTCCACAGCAACATTGGGCGTGTCCGAATCCACGGGAAGGATGCTTGTAAGAGTGCATTTTGAGGTCGATGACGTCACAGCGCAGCGACGAGTACTGTCCGAATTCCAAGAATGCTCATTCTCGCGTCCTCAAATGCATCCTCGCTCCGTCCTTATTTCGAGGACGGGTCTGTTGTATCATCACAGAACAAGGCTATCCCAGCATGCTTTGCGCGCCGGCTGTGGATTTTCAACAGGAACAGGGGAGAGCTACGAAGTTTTAAACGTAAGGTTGTTAAAAACTAGCCGTAGAAACCTAAAAAGCTTAAAGCGTTTCAGTTTATAGACATTTTTCGTTGGTTTATTCCTTGGGTCCATGTGGCAGGGGTGAGGAGTGAGCACCGCCTCACCCCTGCCACGTGGACCTCAAGGGATAAACCATCAATCCTGCTCAATGGTCAACTTTCCTCGTGGGGTCACCCATAAAGACAGTGGGAGGGTTAAATGAACATTTCTAATGTAATTTAATTAATATTTATGACATCATTATTTTTTACTGTTTCCAGCTGCCTCTGTGCAGGTGTCATGTAAGTGTGGGACTATGGCATTGGTAATACCTTTGGTGAGTGCATGAATTCCTAGCTTGACGTGTGAGAAATTTCCACATCCAATCTCTCCACGAATCTTGTAGAAGGCAATTCTTCTACCTACTGTCAGCTCACGAACCACTCTGAAACCAGATTGCATAAAAGCAGCTGAGACTTTAACATTTTTTTATGACTCACTACATTTAAACTACTTCAGACATGAAAAGAAAACCCACTAAGCTAATCTAAACTCTACCTTTCATCCTGGCACATATCCAGGTTCAGCCTTTCCAGCGGGGTAAGGCGGCGGACAGTGGCCCCTTCATCGTCCGTGTTGATGTCAGAGCTGTCTTGGCGGCTCCAGCGGCTGTATCTCTGGTAACCAGCAACCGAAACGGTACCGACAGCAGAACTTCCAACCGAGTCTCCATTAGACTCCTGGGAATTTACTCCTGAAACTGAGCTGTTCCCAGTGGTTCCTGCTGCCCCAGTCCCGGCTTCGGTCCCGTCTGGGCTGCTCTCAAAGGGGCAGACAGCAGTCATCCTGCAAAGGGACGCTCAGGCTGGAGTCGACTTAGTTCATCGTTAGAAGTGATCCCGAACTGGAGGAAAAAACTATGCTTGTTGATTTGGAAAGAGTGTGCCTTTTGAAAGGAAATGCTGTAATAAAAGTTTGGCCCTACTGCCATCTAACAGTTTTAAATTTATTTAAAGATCATTAAAAAAATATATTATTTATGTTTATATTCTTTTTTTTTTATAATTTTGGATAAAGATAAGTCAAGTTTAAAAACAGGAATCAACTTACCTTTAAATGTTCGAGCCATTTTAAAGATACATCCTTTCATTTTCATCCTTTCCCAATAATCATTGGCATTTTGACAAATAAATCAGTGAAAAAACAAACAAACTTTTTTTTTCCAACCTTTCAACACCTATCCATGTCTAAAATTCCATGTCCATGCTGGATCCAAAGTATTCCAGGTGTGCTCCAGCTGTATCTGGCCATAACACGACCTTGTGATCAGTTTTCAACGACTTGAAGCTTTTGCTGGATTTTACGAATTTCCACTTCCGTGTTTCCTTACTTGAAGTTGTTCAAGGGAAGACAGCAAGTGCAGAGGTCCATAAAACCACGGATTGTCAGATTCCTGCTCACCTCTGTCGGTGGCAGCTTTAATAGACAGTTTGGAGTCTCCGGAGTATTAATAGGCCACGGGGTGAGGAGGAGGGGAGAGGAGAAGGATGTGGGAGGTTAAAAAGGAAGAGACTGAGCAGATGATAGTGAGACGGTGCTGCCATTGGACGGCTGGTAGGAAAACCTATAAGACAAAAATCACAAGAGAAGCAGAAATTAAAATGTGTACATACACTTTGCATGTATGTTTCAACCATTAGACTATTAGAGTTTACTGTTATTTTATATGTTTCTGTCTGAATTAGCAAACTCACGGCATCCTCCTTTTTGCATCATTTGTCAAGGAAAACTCGGTCCTATTATAAAGCCGATTTAATTTTGGAATTTAGGGACGCACTTACAGGATAAAACAATTGCATAACTAACGTCGTCATTACAAACACAGCGTATGAGTGATGACTGCCTGCCCTCATGTGTGTTTGTGTGTTAGTGGGATGTGTGCTGTTATATAAGAGCATGATTAGGTGATAATTAAACCTTCTTGGAACAAGGCTCTAACAACATCCCACGAGAAGGGAAAAGGAATCACAGGTGGAAATGAACCAAATGTCATGCAAGTTAATTCTTTTAGCCAAAAAATGTCAAATGAATTACATAATTTCTGACATATAAATATTTATACAATACAATTTATATCAATTCTATATGCTTTCAATATTCAGAATAAATATGAATATATTTTTTATAATGCATCACAGCACAATTTGTGAGGCACACTGAGGCTGTGAATGGCATAAATATGCCAAAAAGTCCAGGTGGTTAAAGTTCCTGTGTGAAATAACTTCAACGTTATTTAAGAAAACTTAAATGTAAAGAAATAAATGTAAAAAATCTGACAAATTTAGGAATAATAATAATAATAATAATAATACATCAAACTTATATAGCACTTTTCGGGACACTCAAAGACGCTTTCATGCACTCTCACATTCACACACTGCCAGTGATGGTAAGCTACTATGTAGCCGCAGCCGCCCTGGGGCGGTCTGACAGAGGCGAGGCTGCTATTCGGCGCCGTCGGCCCCTCTGACCACCACCAACAGAAAAACAGAAGACAGAGCAGCTGTTTAAATATTTTTAAAACAAATTGTTTTTAAATTCTCTAATATAAAGTGCTATGATGAAACTTGTTAACACTGTAAATGCATTTTGACACTAACCTCAGTTTATGATGACATTATTATTTACTGATCCTTTAGTATTTTTCTAAATCTAATAGCTTGGTTCCACTGCAGGGTCCAGCGCAGATCAAGTCTGTGTTTTGTCTCTCTCGATTGTAAAACTGTCCATTCAACTGACCTGGACTGCGCCATTCATGGACCCCATCTGTTGTAGGTCCATAGGACAATGGAACAGTACGGCTTGTAGAGCCCTGCACTGAAGCCCTAGGCCCTCGGGTCGGCCCGGCCCGAGGGCCGGGCTTCGGGCCAGCGACTGTGTAATTACCTCGGACACGGGCCGGGCCGGGCCCCTTCATTTTTAATCGAATTCATTAAAAAAATTGAAACACTTAAACGCAGCAGTAGAGCCCTGCGAGGGACTGTTTCCTTCATCCCGCTCCTGCCCGCTCCCGCTGAATTTCTGACCATTACCGCCCGCACCCGCAGCGTGCATGTCTACTCCCGCCCGCAACCGCAAAACTCGGAGAAATCATTACCTCACAATAAAAGAGATTTACTGAGTTTGCGTCCTCAGCATGTCATTTTATAGGCTACACCAGGGGTCGGCAACCCGCGGCTCTTCCATCCATCTGATGCGGCTCTCTGTGCTTGTAAAACAATGAATGGATATTTAAATAAAATGCTTTATATTTTACTGAATTAATTGTATATCTGTAAGTCAATTCTATGTAAAGATTGTCTGCGTAAACCTGAACAGGTCCAACCCGGTCTTACTGTGAGACCGGGTTGACGCGTCACGCTTGTGCGTAATCATATTGGCGCTTCCTGAGCAGAAGAGGATATGAGATTCTGGGACTCTCCTCAGACGGCTCCTGGATGTGTCGCCACATTGGAGACAGGAACAAGCGCTATTCAGCCAAAGTTTCATAATCAGGGAACATTTTCTAAGTGACAAGTCTCTCTGAGAGACAGGGTTTGGAAAACACTCGCTTCAGTGGGAGGAATCTTCCCGCATGCGCTCTAGTTCTGCAACGCGCTCCAAGCCAGTCTCCACATCTTCAGCTCGCTGTGCACATATGTGCTGAAAACGAGCTGCGCTGAGCAGTGTCCAGCTCAGATGTTCAGATGGGAATCTTTTCTTGAGTGATTTAGCTACATCTGCAATGTGCGAAACGAATAAAATGTCAGTTCGTCTGCATGCGTCGGGGTAATTCTTTCTATTCTTTCTCCGTCAAAATAAACGGTCAAATACGGGAACTGTCCGGTCAACACAAGCCCTGCTTTTAACTGTTTTGTTTTCTTGTGAAAATTGTTGGAAAGAGATCAAATTTAACTTGATTACCACCAGAGCCTGCGCTGTCATCTCCGTGACGGTAAATGAGGGAAAAACAAATTGATCGGATCCTGCACGTCTTTTAACACATTGGTCAGGTTTGACGCACTTTGTTTTCATTTAGTTGGTTAAAAAAAAGTCAGGCTCGGGTCGGGCCAGAGAATCCTGAAAACCTTTTCGGACCGGGTCAGGCTGGGGCTCCACCCCCTCGGGCCGGGCCGGACACGGGCTCAGATTTTAGGCCCGTGCAGGGCTCTAAAGGCTTGGGTGGAGCAGCGGCGTCAAACAACACAGTCCACTGATTGTTGAACAGAAATATATCATGAATTGTGAAAAACAAAACAAAGCCCTGAGTTTCGTTGTTTGTATTATCATAAGTTATACACAAAGGTGAGAAAATGCCAGCAAGTAACAGCACGTTTTGGTCAGCTTCAGAGTTGCGGCTATCAAATATTTTGGTATTCAAAAATCATCTGATAATTAATCGAATATTCTATTTGACATTATTGTTTGCTGCAAAAATATGAAAATAAAACAACAAAATTATATGTGAATTACATGCTACAATGGCTTTTGCCCTGCTGCGGTGAGTAGCAGACTTAGCAACAACCCAGAATCCAGTTAGCTGCTGTGGCTCTGCTCCACAGCGCTGCAGCTGCAGACATCCACAAATAAACAGGATGGTGGGGATTTTTCTACCACATGTAGAGTTTGGTCACTCACAACCATTGTGTTTTTTCTGAACACCATCTGAACATGAGCGTGCTACACGCTACCATTAGCATTAGCTATAGTTTCACTTTTGATCCCAAACTTTGGACCTTTTCTGCCCTTTACAATGGGTTGCATCTTTGCCGGTTTCTCTATGTTCCTCCACAGCACCTAGATTGTACATTGTGCACCAGCAAAATGCATGCAGACTGCGGTGCACACATTTAAAGAAGCTTTGAATTGGTAAAAAATGAATCAAGGAACTTAATGAATCGAACTATACAATGATTTGTTTCAATTCGATTGAATTTTATTTATATAGCGCCAAATCACGACAAGAGTTGTCTCAAGGCACTTCACATAATAAACATTCCAATTCAGGTCAGTTCATTAAGCCAATCAGAAATAATGTTTCCTATATAAGGAACCCAGCAAATTGCATCAAGTCACTGACTAGTGTCAGTGACTATACAGCAATCCTCATACTAAGCAAGCATAAAGCGACAGTGGAGAGGAAAACTCCCTTTTAACAGGAAGAAACCTCCAGAGAATCCTGGCTCAGTATAAGCAGCCATCTTCCACGACTCACTGGGGATTGAGAAGACAGAGCACACACACACACACACACACACACACACACACACACACACAACACACACACACACACACACACACACACACACACACACACACGTTTCAGCCTAACTTCAGAGCTCCAAACATTCCTCACCATCGTCAGCGATAGCCACATTCAGGGCGAGCTAGACGGATCGGTAAGGAATGAATATGTTTTTAAAGAAGTTGCTGCTGCCTTGTTGTTGTGGTTTAGCCCGTCTCCTCGTGGCACTAGCATGACAAGATGGCTCGTATTTACGGCGTGTTCCAATGTTCATCAATCAATCAATCAATCAATCAAATTTTATTTCTAAAGCGCTTTTCAAACAAAGTGTGATTCAAAGTGCTTCACAAAATGACCCCAGATTCCCATACTAGGTTAAAAACATTTACAAACATATGCAAGCACACGCACATGCACACACAGACTCACACACATACACAAGTAAAAATTATATTAGGCTGAGTCCAGATGAGCCAAGTATGGTAACGCAAGGAAACGGCATCATGTGATGCCAAGGCGTCTATTCTCCATTTGTTAGCCATTTAGCTAGCTGACCAAGGATACACGTGAGGTGTCATGTAGCCTGGCCTGGTCCTAGCATACAGCACGGTATTTTCAAGAAAATGGCGGATAAGGAGCCAGAAGCTACTTCAGGGACAAATTTCCAGTTTAAATGAAAGTCAACTAATTGTAGCTATCAGGCTGATATCTGAAACATTTTTTAGATCCAAGGCAGTTATCTATGATTGGTTAGCTGTTTAGCAGGTAGGTACTAACTCACTTACATATTCAATTTAACCAATATACACACTGTTTAAAAAGTAAAAGTTTTGTTTTACATTTATATTGAAATTTATATGTATAAAAAACATGATTAATTTGATTTGTTTTTGTATTTAGATAAATTAATCTATCTTGAAGTCCCATGGAAACCAAAGATTCTTCTTTGTGGATCCTTGAATCTTCCATTCTTCAAACACCTTCCTTCCATCACACTATGATGAATACCATCAAGAACCAGCTAAGAGAGGAGAAATCTCCACTTTGCAGCACAAAGCAGCATGTGCTGCCTTTTATGTGTGTAAATAAAAAGACGAAAGGACAACCGTGCATATGATGAATATTGGGCATCATTAATCAGATGAAAACTAGGATAAATCATAAAATGGGTGTATGAATTTTTTTTAGATCTTCATTTCTGAAACATTTAATTTACATATTACAGAGTATCATGACGTAATCCTGACACGGGAGGGGAAACCTCCTACATGCATAGTTATCACTCTAATCAGCAGATGATTAAAGATGAAAAAATATCCAAAGAGAATAAACGTATGAGT